ATTTTACAACGTTTAATTGGTCCCGTCAGATAGATACCACAAAATATAATATTCAAACACGTGAATTGTTAACAAGTTTAATTGCAATTTTGACTTTTTCACCAGTATGGACTCAAAAGCGTCTAATAATGTGGACAGATAATCAGGCTAATGCTGAAGCTTTCTATTCAGGATTTTGTAAAAATGCTATAATTAACAGTATAATTGCGCATATGTACACAGCACAAATCCAGGGCAATTTCTCAATTAAATTAGAATACATCTCAGGGTCAAGTAATGTAGACGCAGACCTCTTGTCACGTAATGGATATAGACAATATATGGCACACAATCCGGATGCCCGTTATCTGCAACCTATTATCCCGTCTGAATATACTAACCTAATATCTATTATCCCATCACTAATCCAATAGGGACAAGAAGTGACAATCGTAGTCAAGTATACACTAGTACATGGCTACATCTACAAACCAATCATACAGCAGCAATGGCATTAGACAATATACCATTAGACAGACAGGCAGCAGCAGTCTTAAACACGAATCCTCTAATACACAAAACATACAATGCGATAATAAAGCGATACCAAAATTTAGCGATAACACATAGATGGCTAAACACGGATAACTCAATTTGGCCAGTATCAATAGACAGCCTTGTGAAATTTATAACATACCTTCACACAAAGGTAGCACCACAAACTATAATATCATATTTATCCGCATTAAAACACTACCACACCATGAATCACATGAGTTGGAATGAGGTGCGCTATGATCTCTTGGTAAAACAGGTGTTAAAAACTATAGAAGGAAACCATCTATTCAACCCAACGAAGCAAAAAGAACACATAACAAGAGAACACCTGCGTGAAATACGAAGAAAAATAAATATAACAAATTCAGAAAGCCTATTATTCTGGTCAGTTGCATTGGTGGCGTTTTACGGATTAGCAAGACTAGGCGAATTGTTACCCACCTCTCAGCACGACCTGGCAAAAATTCCAACAATGCGAGCCTTAAGGTTTGACAAATCGGGAGACTATACCTTTGCAACAGTCCAACTACCCAGAACAAAAAGCCACAAACCTACAGACCGTCCAATTCTTATAATCAATGCGACAAATGATGATCTGTGCCCGATTCAAGCACTAAAATCATATGCAATCCGTAGAACAGACCCAGCATATGCTCCGGGCTGTAACATACTATTTGTCAAGGCCAACGGTAACATGGCCACTAAGCATTGGTTTATCAGCAACTTAAGATCCCTACTGCCCGAGAGAGACATAGCAGGGCATAGCTTCTGGGCAGGAGGCACAACTGAACTAGTACTTCGGAATGTACAATTACCACTTGTTCAGAAGATCGGCAGGTGGTCATCTGATGCATTCTATAGGTATATACGGACCCATCCGGCAACAGTAGCAGCCATCTTGACAAAAGCGTATTCTGACTAAGCGATCTATAATACAAGTTTGGAATCGATCGCCATTCAGAATCCGTGAGCATGATAGTAAAAAAAAAAAAAAAAAAAAAAGAAGAGAAAAGAAGAAAGGGAAAGAAAAACGGGGGTTGAGAGTAGGTGAATAAACAATACACGACAAATAAGTGAAGGTCATGCCATCAGAAGATGGTAACAGTAACAAAGGAAGTAGCGAATAGTTAAAGAAAATGGCAGAACTACGTATAATTCTTTGGAACCTGCCATTTTCATAATCGCATTCTCATAATCACATTTCATGATTATGACTGCTGAATATCATTATCACATGTTCATATTAACGGCCGGCCTGCATCATGCAGGCGGGAAACCACCGGCCAGCGCCAAGCCGCACAAACTTAACTGCTTACGGTGATCCCCGGCGCAATATTAATTGCTATTTCCGGGTGCATATCCCGTTTCAGTTTAATTACACATAATTCACAACTGCATTCATCAAATAAAATTCATCTCCGGTGTATCAGACCGGATTATTCCAATTTTGAACATGCGTGCAATGCTTTTCGATAAATTAAACAAATACGGAAGTGAGAAACACGGAAAAATTATTTGTTGCAATATTAGCTGCGATCTAAGCAAAGACAATTTTGAAAACCATGATAAAAGAGTGTGAATTTGTAATTTTCAACGATTAGTGGTTTCCGATTTTAGTAGTGGTAGTTCATGATTTCAATAATAAGTTGGTTCACGAATTCAATAGTAAGTCAGTAGTGATTCAACAGTGGGTAAGTTCGTGATTTAAAAAAAATGGATGTTGGTTTGTAATTTCAGCAGTGGCAGGTTCATGCTTTTATTGGATAGGTCCGCAAGTTTAGCAGTAGGTAAATTTATGATTTTGACTGAATAAATTCATGTTTGCCGTGATTTTATGGGTAGTTCGTAATTTTAGTAGTGGGTAGTGATTCAACAGTAAGTGGTTTCACGATTTTATTAACAGGCATGCAGGGTTAGGTTAGTGACGTAGCAAACTTTTTAAAGTTCATTAATGCGTTAAGAATAAGGTTAAATGCTAAGTAGTTATATACTAAAATCGCTCAAGAAAAACTTTTTGTTAGAACACTAGATATGGTTATTATGTAGATTTTTAAGAAGCGATTTTAACAAAACAATCGGTCGTTTTGTTTACTTGATTCGCACCGAATTTTCGAATGCATAAACATAATATGGGACGTCAATAGAAATGGGAGACAAATTATTGTTAGTAACTTTTTTTAAAAATTTAAATCTCAACAACTATCTAATCAAATTTAATGAAGTTTTTTTTATTTTAATTTTACAATTATAGAAGTAAAATAAAAAAAATTTTTTTATTAAATTTGGTTAGATAGTTGAATATTTTAGCTTAAAGTCAAGAATTCTTAGAAAAAATTTGTCTCATTTCTATTGACTTCCACATATATTAGTATATGATACAAAGTGATTTAGCCATATTAAACGAGATAGTTTATGTATTATGACGCCAAGGAAAGATCAATTGCGCTTTTGAGTTTATGATATACTATTTAATAGACATTGCGATATATAAAATTTATTTACTTATGTATTATATAAATCTATCAAATCTGGTAAAGACCGAAGTCTAGTTTGCTATCGCCATAACTCATTTTGGTACTGTATTAACTAAAATATAACTTTACTATTGATTTTTGACTATAGCTTGTAAGAAATATAACATGAAATTTTGTTATAAATTTGAATAAATTTTATATATTATTTAAATTATTAGCAAAAAATGGTGTAATAAAAATTTCTTTTCTGGGATATTGCAAGGAAATTTCTTTGTCTATCCCCATGAGATACATAGAAGTGCAATATGGTATCAATGATCAAAATTGTTCATACTGTTCGATAAAGAAAATCTTTGTGATACAGTACACGTAATAACAATTATTGCCAAATTTTGTTCTACAAAGTTTTTGTGAAATCAGGAGCATATTTGTGATAGTTGACTTACATATAAAGTTACCCATATACGCTCGTAATTCCTTAGGAATTGGGTTTAGAGATGAATGCGTTGAATCCATTTCGAACGTTGCTTTTTTCGCTAATAATTATTAGTTCAACACTCACAATTGTGACATGTTTTAACCCTGAGCCACGAGTTGGACAAGCCAGTGTCTTGATTGGGAGCAAAATCTACTTTTTCGGAGGTAACACCATGAATCCGAGATTTACTAATCATGTATTTTATCTTGATTTATCAAGTTCATTTAATATTACCTCACCTCTTTGGAGTCAAATTACTGCATCTTCAATTCCAATTCCGATTTTTGCTGCTGCGACATGCCTTTCTATTGATGGATCCACAGTTTACTTAGTTGGTGGATTGACACAGGACCCGCTAAATTCATCAATTCTTATGCTTCCAACATCATCAGTTTATGCATTTAATTTTAATAGTTTACAATGGACAACTCCAAATATCGATAATTTTAATAGTACGTTTTTAGGACGTGAATATGTAATGAGTGTCGCTGACCGCGATGGAAAATACTATATGTTTGGAGGACATCTAGCGAATTTAACAATAATAACAAGCCCTTATTCTTATTATAATGACATAACTATATTTGATCCAAAAATGATGAAATGGACAACTTTAAATCTTCTCAAACCTCCACTTTCTCGTACATATTATAGTGCTGTGCTGAAAGATAATCTTATATTTTATATTGGCGGGGAAACTGAATTTAATATTCATGACTTAAATGAGGTAGTTGTGATTTACATAATTAGCGTTAGTAAAGCTTCAAATTTATATCTTGCAAAATAATCGTATTAAATCAAATAGATTCAAGTATTTGATACAACGGCTTTAAAGTGGTTGTCTATGGTACGTATGTAGACATGATATAATAATGTTAACGAATTTTAAAATAATATAACTTTTTTTTTCTAGACGACTCGTGGCGATTTAATTGCAGCTCGTTCTAGACATTCAGCCGTTTTAAGTACGTGCTTTAATATGCTTTAATAATAATAACTAATTGTTTTAATATATATAAATATTAAATTTATTATTATAATTTTTAAACAGCGCGAGATGGACTTATTGTTATTTATGGTGGGCGAGGAGTCAATAGCATTCCGCCACAACCTGATGTTGCACTATTAAATGTAAATACATCACCGTATACATGGACGGCTATTACAAATAAAGCTCCACAAGCACTTGCGACTCATTCAGCAATATTATATGGAATATATATGATTGTTGCATTTGGTAATCATATTATTTTTATCTGAATTTAAAATGGTTTAATTTACATTCTGGATTAATCCGAAATATAAAAAAAACTTTAGTGGACTACAATTCACTAAAATTTTATAATAATTTAGATAAATCCGTTTGAAGTACTAATTTTTGATAATGTTACTAATTTTAGATTTAATTTTATTCTATATTTAGGCTATGTTGTTCCTTCAACGCCACAGCCAGCAGGTTCATTGCTGATATTAAATAATAATATATATATCTTTAATACACAAAATTATACATGGGTTAACACTTTTGATGCGTCTAATATATATGGAACAAAACCTGACGATAAGAAAGATCCAAGCGATCCAATTTCATTGGGCGCAAAGATTGGTATTGGTATAGGTGCATTGGTTGCCCTTATTGGGGTTGCAGGATTTTTCATTTATAAAAAAATTCGTTCTCACGATGATGGCCATTCTATTGCAACTCCTGGAACGTCATATACAGAATATACGGAATATACAGAGATGAGGTTTCATAATATTTAAATAACTATCTTTAAATTCGCACTCAAAGTTCTGGATAAAATATACTTAATCTCTATAAATGCTTATTATTAAATGTTCGGTCTCTATAGAATGCATTTATTAAGTTACCAAAGATCTTTGCATTATTTTTTATTATTTTAGTAAGAATTTTTAAAAAAAGCTAATTATTTTTTGCATCACTGATATCACTATGATCATATATCACATGTTTTTCCAAGAATATCTATTATCCTAAAAGAACGGTTTAGTCTACGTTGAAAAGATTAATTTACACATAGGTCAAAAAAGAATTTGCAAATATGTATGCTTTATCACGTTATAATTATTATAAATATTTCTTGTTTTAAATAAATAAACAAGCAGAAATATCGAATTCTATAAAGTCATAACTATATGCTGATATGAGTGTTAATTACTGATTGACACCGCTGCTAAGATTCCTAAAATTCAGATCAGCCACCCATTATAACATAATTTGATCAAAAGATGTTATATGCATGGTCCTCGGTCTTAAGACCTGTTCGAACCGGTCTTTTTTGAATAGTTAAATATACTAGTAATAAAACGGCGACATTTTATATGACTGGAGCCTTTACGTATTAGTTCTAAATTTCAAAAAATTTGTAAAGTTAGCATTTTAGCTCATATAATATCACCAAAATAATATATGGGCCGTCAAAAGTAGAAACCAAGGAATTTTAATGATCACGAGTTTTGAGATAATTGGCAAAACATATTTTGTTACACAAAAACAAAATATATAAACCTTTTGTTATTCATCTGATTGAATGATAACTAACGACCAAATATGAACGATTGTGTAATGTTAGACTTTGATCTATTTTTAGATTTTGCCGATTTTACCATTAAACATTTTTTAAAAAAAGGTCAAATTCCTTGGTTTCTACTTTTAACGGCCCATATAATAAAATTTAATTCATTAATGTAAGTAGCATATTTTATGTTTGTATTAATTCGCATGCGAATAGACAGAAAATTCATGAAGTCATAAAAAAAAAATAATAATTCATTCATTGAGTCATAAAGAAAGACAAATAATTCATTTAAAAGTCATAAATATAAATAATAGTTCATTCATAAAGTCATAAAGAAAGTAATCTCTGTTCTTCAACTAACCTCTGTTGCAAACGTGCACTTTCCCCCAATTTTTGTAACATATTATAAGGAAGGGTACTCCTGAAAAGAAGATCAGCAAGAGCACGAACTTTTGATATAGCAAAATATGTAAGATCTATAACAAATTCCTTTTCGCCAATAACTATTACGGTTTGTGATAATGCCCAATGCAATGCACAAAGGAAATTGCATACGAGATCAGATCCCTAATTTTCCTTCCGATGTATATTTGATTGAAGTTCAATAGGAATTTCTTCCAAAAAAAAATAATATATTGTATATTAATTGGTAATCTATTGTTATCGTATATTATGTATTTTTACTTAATCATTTTCGGCTGAAAATCTTTTATCTTTATTGCATCGATTACATAATTCTGTCGTTTGTACTAATACAATAGTAGGGAAACTTTCTTCACAAACAGAACAGGAATTAAATTTAAGTGCAGAATTTGCATATCGAAACTTTTTTAGTAGATTGTGATCATCCTCGGAAAGATGACAGGCGAGTAACAATGACGAAATATTTGATTTAATATTGATAGTGAGACGATGGAAGTATTTCGATGTTCTAAAAGTAGAAATTAAATAAATTTTACGGATTTAGGTTGTAGTAAATAAATATTACCGTTGCGTTTAGATATATTGCCTTTATTATTTGTCTGCTCGTCATTATTTATCTGTTCTTTATCATTTGTTTGTTCATTACTATTTGTATGTTCGTCATTTTGATCTACATTTCTTTTTCACTAATAGAATTTTTTTGTTGATTCATTATTTCAATAACTTAGCTGTTCTTCAGATGTCATCTAAGTCAATCTTCTTCTGGCATCAATTCTTGCGGCTTTTGGTTTAGGCGTAGAATTTATTTTACGTTTTTGCATTTTATCGTAATCGTAAATTTCAATGTAAATAAAATCCAATAAATCGAACCATTAATCAGTTTATTAATCAGTTTGCTTAGTTCGCTTTTATTTTCCATTAAATGACAGGATTGCTGATTAAAGTTTTACAAGGGATCGTCGATATCGCAATTACGCAAAATCTCTGAGAGTATGGCTCTGGGGTGTTACACAATGATTTACAAACATAGTGCAGCTGAACTATGTAAATCATTTGGCGTGTAATATCCCAGTATGGCTCCTATCCAGCCCAATTCTTAAAATTATTTTAAAAAAAGAGCATTTTACATAATCACTTATTTTCGATAAATTCTGAAATATCCAGTAAAAAAAAATTGACGGAGTTTTGTTTAAATGATTCAATAAGTTTTTGATTCGGCAGTTATAAACTCTGGTTTGAGGTGTGGTCCACATATATATTTTATCTATATAATATTAAGTTTCGCTTCGCTTGAATGCATATCTAATATGTTTGGTATTTAATCTGTACGAAAATTTACGGCGATGACTATTTTTGTTAATGTAACCATCATTGGGAGAATTTCTATCGATCATGCAAGTTTAATTCCGATGGCTGATGTAGGCATTTATTTTTGAAAAGAATATATATTTATGTATTCTTTATTTAGAGATGATTCATATCAGCTGACTTTGATAAGGAAATTCAATCTCTCCAGTAACGCACCTCATTAGACATATATAATTACCGTATTCCTCCGAAAATAAGCACCCCCCGAAAATAAGCACCCCCTACAATTCATATATACCCGAAAATAAGCAC